TGCTGACCAGGCCACCGCATGGCTAATAGCTGCCTGCTCCAGACCTCAGATCTCTGATGGAGCCAGCACAAAGGTGACCTCCTTCTTGCTGCAAGGAATTTTTATCATCTTCCTTTACCCTCCCACTGACCTTGTCAGGCCAGGTCAAGGAGGCTTTTCCTGATGTCTCCAGAAATTTCCTTCCTGGAGATTATTCCTGGAGCCTTTCTAGTCTAAAGTCCTCCAAACCTCTGTTCCCTGCTAGGAGAAGGAGGAGAACATGAGCCACCCAATATCTTTCCAGCTAGATCTATTAGCACTTTCATGAAGGTGGGCTGAGATATGCCTGGAAAGCAATTGAACGAACTTCCCCTCTTCCTGCCTGTTCTCTGCCCAGAGGAAAAAATATTGTAAAACTCAGAGCGAAGGTTTGCTCATTTCAAACCTCCAAAGAAAAAATGTGTTTCTTCACAGCTTGATACAGTGAAAGAAATAAATTAAGAATTCCAGTAGCAGACCAGAGACTAAACACCACCTGAGGACCAAAGAGTAACTTGAAATGTGGCGAGGCTCTTACCTTTAGCTGGTAATATTTCTCTGTGCGGAGAGCCAGGATGCGTTCAATGGAATAGGTTTCATCTGGCAGCTCTGTTTCTGCCAGTTCCATGCCAAAGGCCTGTAACATCTGTGCAATTTCCTTCACTGTTAGTGCAAAACTTTCTATGGCCTGGGGAAACACACATTATGGTTGTTCATTAGCTGGGCAGCTATAGCTTCCACTTTGTAAAAGTTGCATCAAGGAAGGGTTGTATTTTTTTTTTAATGTACTGCTCTTACAAGATCAGGTTTTCTAAAATTCTCAAAGAAAACATGAACCAAATAAAATGTCTACCATGTTTGAAACTGGATGGATACTCTCTACCGGCATCAGATATTCATTTGCCCCTTCCCCCAGTGCTTGGTCAGCCCTCTTTGATCCCCAGTCAATTAGTCCCCAGTCAATTAGTCTGCAGACTTGACACATTTTCCAATGTGATGATCACTTAACAATGTTACTGAAATATGCCAGGGGACTTATACCAAGGACTCTAGTCATGGGTTCCAAGCATCTAACTCTCCGTATTGGTAAGGTAGCTTGTACTTCAGCACCACTACTGCTGGTGGCCAGAGAGTAACACTGCAGCTACCAATGCATCAGGGACTATGTGATGCACAAAGAGCTAATAGGGTTCCTTGGAGCCCTATAAAGCTGGCAATTCTGTAATAGGTCTTCAGTCTGAGTAGCAACTTGCTTGGGCACTAAGCTTTTCTTAATCTGTCCACCTCCACTGCCCTGCTTCTTCTGCTTGCCTTCAAAGACCATCTACACAGATAGATTTCTTGTTCAGAAGCACACAGAATTTTTTAAAGAAGTTCACTGAACACTAAGGGCTGGATCCAACACTTTCTTCTGCAAGACAGAGTGCTTTAACTTGTTCAAGTAAATAATTTTCACTCATTCCCTGCTCCCACCACAGACTCTCAAACCATGCCCTATACTGTCCCAGAACCCCAGGATCAGTATTTCAGGGAGAACTGTAGGGGAAGGGAAGCAGAAAAGATTCATTTTGTGAGCAGGGCTCTGCCTGCAGTCCTTTGGGTTCAATCCAGGAAAAGCAGCACCTATTACCACCCTCCATTCCAACCACAAGCCATCGCTTTTGGACCAGATGGTAACTCTACATTCCTCCCACTCTCTGTACCCTGACTAAGTCATAACATATATTAGCCGAGTCTAAAGAGGGACATACAGTTCTGAAGATGATCCATTCACTATGGCAGTACTCCAGGGTGCCCCCAAATTCAGGTGTCAGCTGTTTTTCATCGATGTACGTCAATAAGTCACTGACTGAGCTCAGCATTACAACCTGGTGGAAATAATGTATTAGTAAATAAAGATTTATGTTCTCTTCTTCCAGGTAGCAGGTATTGTTCTTCCAGTAAACTAACAACAAGTAGTCAGGGAACATGGCATCACTTGGCTTTGTAGTGAGAAGCTGAAGTCTAACTTAGCTATTACCAGTTCATTGTACCCAAGTACCTTTTATTTCCCGCACTTTGCAAATAAAGATCTGTATACTTGGCTCTGGAAAAATAAGACCCAACTCCCATGTGGAGTCTCAGTTGCTGGAGCATCAGCAGCTGACTACAGAACTTGAAAATCAGCCCCCCCCCCCCCATTTAAGGCATTTATCTTGTTCCGTTTCAGGGTAGGTAGCAGTCACATAATACTATTGAGAGTCCTGGGTTCTGCCCCTTGGTCATACTCCAGCATGAGTAAGGAGCAGAATCTAGGGCAGAGAGATGCAGCTATATGAGAGAATGATGCAGACGGAAGGATGCTTGCTTGGTTTGCTTGCTCTCAGAGGCACCCACTGAGGTTTACGGGATAATTGGGGGGGGAGGGAACTACCTCTGCAGTGAAGCAACCTGCAGTGGATGCTTCAGACTGCAGATTTTGGGGGAGCAGCAACCCCCTGCCTCTCCACCGCCTGCCACTCCAGCCCAGGATTCAGAGGATATTATTCTCCTCTTCCCTCCTCCCCCCCAGGCCTTTTTACAAATAGTGCAGCAAGCAGCACTTAACATTTGCCCCAACTCTCATGAAATTCCTTCTAAGTGAGAGAATTCAGCCGCCACATCTCGTTGCCTGTGTTCAGGGCAACCAAAATGGTGACTGAACTCTCCCCAAAAAGGAAGTAATCTTGCAGAAATTCAGGGAGCCCTCTGGGGCCTACATAGCTTGCTGCACTGCTTGTAAAGAGGGTTGGGGCAGTGAAGAATAATCTCCTCCAGAGTTGGCAGGAGCAGCAACGTTGCAGGTGGATGGTGGCTTCTGTTCAGCAGCAGGAACAAGACAAGTGGACCTGGGATGGCGAAAGATCTTAAACCATCACGAGGTTAGGAGAGGGCGAGCACTTGGACCCCCTTCTCCATAGTGTTTCCTTCCCACAAGGCTTAACAGGTTCAGCGATCTAGCTCAGAGCATCCCAACCTGAGAGACCCTAACAGACCTCACGGCCATAATTAGGTAAAGTTAACATCATCAACAAATTTAAGACTAAAAATTGCTCACAAATGACTAACTGGGACTTTTGGGTGGGAGTGAATGTTTTGTATGCATGGTTGTCATTTGCATTTAGCTTAATTAAACCCTGTATCACAGTTTCCCACAAACACACAGTTCTGCAACATACATCGGAGTGAAACTATAGAACCCAAAAGATAGTGGTTTAGTGGCAGGGCTCCCGCTTTGCATGTAAAAGTTCTCAGGTTCAATCTTCAGTTTCCAGACCTCGGACAGCAGATATTAGGAAAGAACTTGTTCTACCTGAGACCTTGGAGAGATGTTGCCAATCAAGGTAGACAAGACTAAGCTGGATGTACTGGTGGCTTAACTTGGTACAGAGCAGGTTCACATCAATTTCTCAGTTGTGTAATTAATACTCATACCGCCCTGACTTGGATAGCCCAGGCAAGCCTGATCTCATCAGATCTCAGAAGCTAAGCAGGGCTGACCCTGGCAACTACTTGGAAGGGAGACCTCCAAGGAATACCAAGGCCAGGTTGCAGAGGCAGGCAATCAAGCCCCCTCTCTGAAAAAGTCCTAGCCCCAACTAAGGGTTGCCAGAAGTCACCAGGACTTTTAGGCTCACGCACACAATACTCACACACACACAAAATACCCATACCGGCAGTTTGAGCAGGAAGTCCTCTTGACTAAACCGGAACCCGATGTCAGTAAACGTGCGCTGGAAAAATCCAGTGGGACGTAGAACCATCACAAGGTGCAAATCTCCAGGGAAAGAGGCCTACAGGAAAACCACAAAAAATGGAAATCAAGTCCCCACACGAAAAACCAAACAGCACATGCAGCGCAGAGAGAACTCTCCATTACCGTGAAGAAAAAGTCACAGTTTCCAAAATTACCAGTACTTTGAGATCTCAGAGATAACGTTGCAAACTTGTGCAAGTGGGAGTTGGACCACTTGGGAGGTGCATGGCTGCCTCCAAATACAGTCACACGGTACTGCAGTGTCTCTTGTGCATCTCAGCTTGAGGCAAGAAGACTCTCCAAGAGCTTACATCAAATCATAGGCTCTGCAGAGCAAGGTGAGTTGCCCCACTTTAAAAAGGATAGTGGAGCAAGAAAGAGATACTGAAATTGTCACAGGGTTGGAGCACTTTTCCTACAAGGAAAGGCTAAAAAGATTGAGGATTATCAGTTTAGAAAAGACACAAATAAGGAAGAAGGCAAGGCAGAGGATTATAAAATTACAAGTGGAGGACCTGAAAGGACAAGGGGGGCATATTTCATTTTCCCCTCCTCCACCGTGTCCTCTTCCCCTTCCCTAACAGCCCCCATAGCCTCTTCCCTTTTCCTGCTTCTCTCCTTAACACCCACCAGCCAACCAACATTGGTCTGTCTTCAGCTTTCCCTCCATTCCTCTCACCGGCATCCTCCCCCTGGGAACTCTGTATGGTGCCAGCGGCTAGGCCCAATTGCATGGTGGTGAACCTCCAAGGACTTGCAGGAGGCACCTCACTTTCCCCTGTATCTCATTCCCCACACTATCTCCTCTTTTTCTTCTCCTGGCATCCCCCATATCCTCACCTTTCCATGCTTCCTTTCTCCTTCTCATTGACTAACCAACTAACCAACCTTTCATCTGCTCCCACATCTTCAAATGAACTTCCATTCTGCCTCTGAATATCAGCTGTTGGGCAGCACTGCCAGCCAGCCAGCCAGATGTAGTGATTAGAGTATTGTACTAGTATCTAAAAGATCCAGGTTTGATTCTCCTCTGTTGTGGAAGCCTACTGGGTGACCTTGGGCCAGTAACATTCTCTATCAGCCTAATCAACCTCACAGGGTTATTGTGAGGATAAAAAAGAGAAGAGAATGATGTAAACCACTTTGGGTCCCCCGCTGGGGAGAAATAAATAAAACAAAACAGACCACAGAAAGATGACAAACAGGGTGCCTGACTAGACAGATCGTGGACTGGCCCACTAGGGCTGCTGTCTTCAGAAGCAACCACACATCTCCTATTCTGCTCAATATAAAACAGTAAGTGTAATCAAGTAAGATCTTGACACCAAGGCAGGTCAATGTTTTGACATCCAATCCTTGCAATATTACAAAGATATCCATCGCTAATACAGACCACTTCCAGCTATGAGGAGGAGACCCAGGCAATGTAAATGCAGCAGACCCTCACCCAAGCCTTAAACTGCCAAGTAGGACACTTTAAAACCGCCGTACCTTCTGGTCACACATTTTGACTCATTTCATCTGTTATACTTTTAACACACCCTATCTTCAAAGGATGTTCAAAGCAGTGAATGTGGGGTGATCCCATTTCATCTTCCCAGCCACAAGAAGCTAAGTAGCCATTTGAACTTGCAGCTTCAGCAATGTTTCCTCTAATTCCCCCCCCCCCACTGAGTGGAGCAGTTCGCATCCCAAGCAGAATACAACCACTGTTCTTAAAATGGGCAATGGGCAGTGCAAGACCTGGTGCGGCTCCAGACTGCTGCTGAGCAAGGCTTCCTGTGTTAATGAGTGGCCCCTCACATGCACAGCTTAGAGGGAACACTGCTTCAGGGTCCAACGAAATACAGTATTTTTTCAAATGCAAGACTCAATTTTCTCCAAGGTATGCCATCAAAAACAAACAGAGGGGGCTGTCCTACATTTGCATACACGTCCCAGCTATGTCCAAGTAATTTCTGCACATGTCTAACATTTTTTACACGGTTTGTCTTACACTCAGGTTCAGCTTCCATTACAACAGTAATGAGATGTGGGGAGAGAAGAGTAGCCACTCAACTAATAAATTGTTTATATTAACCTCTACAGCCTATGCTCTGGTTGGGTAATCACTACAAGAGCATACCCATCCTATCAATAACTTATTCATTCAGGATCCCACAACTCTTGTGAACGTTCCCATTCTATTAAAATAAAACCACAGAAGAGATCCATAAACATGCTGTTTGGAGAGCTATAATTACCAAGCTAAGTCACATTGCCCATCAATTCTTCCTCCGTATTAGCAAATAATGTGCAGCACTCTATTACACTTAGATGCACCTCCACTGGAAAAGACATGCTGCCCAAATGCAGCATGTTCCCCACAGCTATTTTTAAGACAGGCTAAAAATAATACTTTAACGTAAACTGATTGCCAAATCCTGGTCCAGTAGAAGCCAATGGGAATTCTGCCAGGGCCCTACAGCAAAAGCTCAAAAAAATGGATTAATATGTCCCTATGATATGTTAGGCAGTAAGACAAAAAACATAGTTTAATTACAGTGTAGGAAAGTTGAAAAAAGGGCATCGATCGATTCAGAGAACCAATACAGACACGGTGAAATCTGCATCTTCTTCCCCCTCCCACACGTCAGAAACCTGGTAATCACAAAGTTAGAATGAAGGATGACTTTGCATTTCTTATCCTGTTCTTATTTGAAAATCCCCATTTTGACTTTGCAACACCCAAGTGCAAATTGGGGCTTCATTTTCTGTTTTCTTGTACCCAACTATTCCTGTGCAAACATATATAAATATGCATTTTTTCACATTATTTGAACATCAATAAATCAGCTCAATCTATATATCTAATAGTGAACTGGCCGCCTCTGTGCGGATCCTTAAATCCGGACATCGGGGGCACTTGGGGGGGAGGGAGAGGTTTGTGCACACGTGGGGCAGTCCCCACGTGTGCACAAAAATCCTAAATGGTGACAAAAATTTTGGGGGGATGTTTAAATCCCCCCAAAAGTGCTAGAGCGTTCCGTGCGCATGCGCATGGAACGCTCTGCGACCGAGGCTGCCGCCGCTGCCGCTTGAAAGGCAAGCGGCGAGTGGCGAGCCAGGAGGGGGGGGGAGAGCGGCGAGGGGCGCTCGGCTCGCCACTCGGCCCTCGGTGAGTTTGCACACACAAACAGAGAGAGAGAGAGAGAGAGGAAAAGAGAGAGAGAGAGAGACGGGGGGAACAGCAGCTTCGGGCCGGGGGGGAACCAACAGCGACGGCTCAGCGGCACGCCACTCGGCTGTCGCTTCGGGCCGGGGGGGAACCAGCAGCGACGGCCCAGTGGCACGCCGCTCGGCCGTCGCTTCAGGCCAGGGGAGAACCAGAAGCGACGGCCCAGCAGCACGCCGCTCAGCCGTCGCTTCGAGGCAGGAGGAGGGGGACGGCGAGGAGCGGGGGGGAAGGCAAGGGGGTGGAGGACACGGGGGAACCAGCGGGATGGGGGGTACTTACCTCCTCCTGCTGCTTCCTCTGCCTCCCCCCCGCGAGGAGGGCCGACTAGTCGGCGCTCTTGAGGAGCGGGGCGGGCTCCCTCTCCGGGCTGTGGGGCTCGGAGCTGGGGGGGGGAAGAGAACAAGTGGAGACCCAACTAGAACACAGTAGGCAACATTTTGTTGCGGGTCTCCACTTGTACATATATAAATATATTTTATGTCAATAAATGACAACCATATGGTGCATGTACACAATACGAACAAATCACCCTTCCCCCCGAGACCATTTCCCTAAGCTTCTGATAACAAAGGCAAACTTTTTTGTATTGGATTCAAATTAAAGTCATGCATGGCACCGGTGTCCCAAAAGGATTATTTTCATAATATATAAGAATAAGTTGCAAATCTTCAGAGGAGGCCACTGCCATGTTTCTATGTGATCAAAAAAACAGAACAGGATCACAGACTGTAAACAGTAGATAATAGGAAAAAATCGCTGTGAATAATGGCGGCTCAACTTACACTGAATATGGTTGAATGCATATGTTGAATAGACCCAGCACAAATCACATAACATAGACTTCTGTTAAAAACAATACATTGTTTTTATAAGAAATAATTACAAATTTAAACTGCTAAATAACAAGCCAATTACAACAATACTGACAAAGCTTTAACTGATAATAATAAACATAGGAGCAATTCCAACTTGTGGTAAAATCTTACAACAAACATGAACAAAGTGTCAGCTTGTTGACTTGTGACAAACTCTTGCAGCAAACATAAGTCACAGGTCACATATTTGGAACAAGAATATGGGGGCACCAATGGACTTGCATTCTGTGGAGAAGAGACATACGGCAGAAGATTTACTCTTTTTGTAATATATAAATACTAGGAATAAGGCCCATTGTAGAAATAAATACAATGAGCTCTAGAAAGAGGCTCTGGGAGAGTGCCAAGGCCTTGGGCACTCAGTGTCAATGTGCTGTGGTGATCTCAGCAGGGTATATTGACACAGAGCAATTGCTTAGAGAACTTTTCGTCAATGATGTTAAGCTGGAAGGCTCTTGTTCCTCATAAAAGATAATTTGTTGATTGGCTTATTCTATATATGAACTTTGAAATTTGAAGATTGGGTAAGTTATACTCTATTGAGGATTTTCTTAAATGTATTGAATTTCAAGCAGCTCCGTAGCTGTTGGAGGATTATATCTGAGACTGTAATGAAAATACTTTTGGAGTTGATTCTCTTCTGAGGAAGACTTCTTATGAAACTAGTGGAAACCTAGGTGCTCATTAAGTTGACCCTTATGTTTGCTCCAAGAGTTTGTCACAGGTGGGAACAAGCTGACACTCTGTTCACGTTTGTTGTAAGATTTTGCCACAAGTTGGAATTTCTCCTATGTTTACTATTATCAGTTGAAACTTTGTCAGTGTTATTGTAATTGGCTTGTTACTTAGGTGTTTAAATTTGCAATTGTTGCTTATAAAAATGATTGATTGTTTTCAGCAGAGATCTATGATACATGATTTGTGCTGGATCTATTCAACATATGC